CTAGAAGCACAAGCATTTCGCTTCACCCGCCATAACATCTGCTAAACACGTGTATGTGACCAATGAAATTTGATTTGATTTAATCTGATGAAATATTCCACCTGTTGAAGGAAGCGTTTTACTTATTATTTTGAGACAAACATTGAAGGGAATTGTTGAACGTACCTTGAGTGATGAGAGAAGTCATAACTGAGTGGGAACAGACTAGAGTGGGAACATGACATAGAAATTACATGATAACTTAGCTAGCTAGCTAATACTATGAAACTGAAAATCAGGGTCTAAACATCTCACCAAGTTATAATTCAAGCAGGCGTTAATAAGAATCATGCTAAAACTAAATACTACTAAAATAGACTATACTTGCCAATGCCATATTTAAGTTGTTAGAACACGGTACACCACCGATCAAAAGCTCAAAAAACAGGACTTTGAACTAAAAACGAATGCGAAATGTTATGGTTTTGGCTTCTATGGTGAACATGCGCACTCAGTCTGAAAAATCGATCAAAATCACAGTATGACGTATGGTTCAGAATCACCATTCAAAGGTATGACGTACCACATACAGTGCATTCGGAAATTATTCAGACCCCTTCACTTTTTCCATGTGTTGTTACGTTACAGCTTTATTCTAAAATGGGTACAATGATTTTTTCCCCTCATCAATCCACACACAATACCCCATATTGACATAGCAAAAATTTGAATTGTTTGCACATTTATATTTAAAAAAAAACTGAAATATTACATTTACTTAAGTTTTCAGACCCTTTACTCAGTACTTTGTTGAAGCACCATTGGCAGCGATTACAGCCTTGAGTCTTCTTGGGTATGACGCCACAAGCTTGGCACGCCTGTATTTGGGGAGTTTCTCCCATTCTTCTCTGCAGATCCTCTCAAGCTCTGTCAGGTTGGATGGGGAGTGTCGCTGCACAGCTATTTTCAGGTCTCTCCAGAGATGTTCGATCGGGTTCAAGTCCGGGCTCTGGCGGGGCCACTCAAGGACATTCAGAGACTTGTCCCGAAGCCACTCCTGCGTTGTCTTGGTTGTGTGCTTAGGGTTGTTGTCCTGTTGTAAGTTGAAACTTCGCCCCAGTCTGAGGTCCTGAGCTCTTTGGAGCAGGTTTTCACTAAGGATCTCTCTGTACTTTGCTCCATTCATCTTTCCCTCGATCCTGACTAGTCTCCCAGTCCCTGCCGTTGAAAAACATCCCCACAGCATGATGCTGCCACCACCATGCTTCACCGTAGGAATTGTGCCAGGTTTCCTCCAGACGTGACGCTTGGCATTCAGGACAAAGAGTTCAATCTTGGTTTCATCAGACCAAAGAATCTTGTTTCTCATGGTCTGAGAGTCTTTAGGGGCCATTTGGCGAACTCCAAGTGGGCTGTCATGTGCCTTTTACTGAGGAGCGCCGTCTACGTCTGGCCACTCTACCATGAAGGCCTGATTGGTGGAGTGCTGCAGAGATGGTTGTCCTTCTGAAAGGTTCTTCCATCTCCACAGAGGAACTCTGGAGCACTTTCAGAGTGACAATCAGGTTCTTGGTCACTTCCCTGACCAAGGCTCTTCTCCCCCGATTGTTCAGTTTGGCCGGGCGGCCAGCTCTAAGAAGAGTCTTGGTTGTTCCAAACTTCTTCCATTTAAGAATGATGGAGACCACTGTGTTCTTGGGGACCTTCAATGCTGCAGATTTTTTTTGGTACCCTTCCCCAGATCTTACCTCGACACAATCCTGTCTCAGAGCTCTACGGACAATTCCTTCGACCTCATGGCTTGGTTTTTGCTCTGACATGTACTGTCAACTGTGGGACCTTATACATGCACTGTCAACTGTGGGACCTTATACATGCACTGTCAACTGTGGGAACTTATAATTACAGACTGAGTCTGTAATACCAACATGTTTGAAGCAGACCACCATAGTCCCTGTGCCCAAGAACACTAAGATAACCTGCCTAAATGACTACCGACCCGTAGCACTCACGTCTGTAGCCATGAAGTGCTTTGAAAGGCTGGTCATTGCTCACATCAACAACATTATCCCAGAAACCCTAGACCCACTCCAATTTGCATACCGCCCCAACAGATCCACAGATGATGCAATCTCTATTGCACTGCACACTGGCCTTTCCCACCTGGACAAGAGGAACACCTACGTGAGAATGCTATTGATTGACTACAGCTCAGCGTTCAACACCATAGTGCCCTCAAAGCTCATCACTAAGCTAAGGACCCTGGGACTAAACACCTCCCTCTGCAACTGGATACTGGGCTTCCTGATGGGCCGCCCCCAGGTGGTAAGGGCAGGTAACAACACATCTGCCACGCTGATCCTCAACACGGGGGCCCCTCAGGGGTGCGTGCTCAGTCCCCTCCTGTACTCCCAGTTCACCCATGACTGCATGGCCAGGCACGACTCCAACACCATCATTAAGTTTGCCGACGACACAACAGTGGTAGGCCTGATCACCGACAACGATGAGACAGCCTATAGGGAGGAGGTCAGAGACCTGGCCGTGTGGTGACAGGATAACAACCTCTCCCTCAACGTGATCAAGACAAAGGAGATGATTGTGGTTTACAGAAAAAAAAGAGGACTGAGCACGCCCCCATTCTCATCGACGGGGCTGTAGTGGAACAGGTTGAGAGCTTCAAGTTCCTTGGTGTCCACATCACCAACAAGCTATCATGGTCCAAACACACCAAGACAGTTGTGAAGAGGGCACAACAAAGCCTATTCCCCCTCAGGAGACTGAAAAGATTTGACATGGGTCCTCAGATCCTCAAAAAGTTATACAGCTGCACCATCGAGAGCATCCTGACTGGTTGCATCACCGCCTAGTATGGCAACTGCTCGTTCTCCGACCGCAAGGCACTACAGAAGGTAGTGCGTACGGCCCAGTACATCACTGGGGCCAAGCTTCCTGCCATCCAGGACCTCCATAACAGGCGGTGTCAGAGGAAGGCCCTAAAATTGTCAAAGACTCCAGCCACCCTAGTCATAGACTGTTCTCTCTGCTACCGCACGGCAAGTGGTACCGGAGCGCCAAGTCTAGGTCCAAAAGGCTTCTTAACAGCTTCTGCTCCCAAGCCATAAGACTCCTGAACAGCTAATCATGGCTACCCGGACTATTTGCATTGCACCCACCCTCTCCCTCCCTCTTTTACGCTGCTGCTACTCTGTTTATTATTACATTTTAGTCATTTAGCAGACACTCTTATCCAGAGCGACTTACAGTTAGTGAGTGCATAATTTTTTTTTTCATACTGGTCCCCCATGGGAATCGAACCCACAATCCTGGCGTTGCAAACGCCATGCTCTACCAACTGAGCTACACGGTCCCTTTAACTCTACCCACATGTACATATTACCTCAATTACCTCGACTAACCGGTACCCCCTGTATATATATTTTTTACTTATCTATTTTTTACTTTTTATTTTCTTAAAACTTCATTGTTGGTTAAGGGCTTGTAAGTTAGCATTTCACTGTAAGATCTACACCTGTTGTATTCTGCCCTTGTGGCAAATAACATTTGATTTGATTTGTGTGCCTTTCCAAATCATGTCTAATCAATTGAATTTACCACAATTGGACTCCAATCAAGTTGTAGAAACATCTCAAGAATGATCAATGGAAACAGGATGCACCTGAGCTATATTTCGAGTCTCATAGCAAAGGTTCTGTAAATAAGATATTTAAGTTTTATTTTTTCTACATTTGCAAAAATTTCTAAAAACGTGTTTTCGCTTTGTTATTATGGGGTACTATGTGTAGATTGATGTGGGTTCTTTTTTTTTGTAATCCATTTTAGAATAAGGCTGTAATGTACCAAAATGTGGAACAAGGGGTCTGAATACTTTCCGAATGCCCTGTATGTGGCGCGTGGGAGACCACATATGAATGGTGTGATTGGTAAAATTATTTCCACCTTTTAACGGGTTGATTGTAGTCTAATCGGGTGTTTGAGATTACTCCGACTCTGACCGCAATGAAATGAACGTCAACCGGCTACCCAGCTCCTCCCTCTCTCCCTCCTCACTCACATATGCTCTTAGTTTCACTTTCTCTTATTATCAAAGAGATCAACTGGCAAGAACAGCTACAAGGTAAAGCATGTTTATTTGCTCAAACACACCTCCAATTTACATTAAGCTAAGTGATTAATATCAAAGTTACTGCAATTATTAAACATTCGGCTGTGTCTATGGTTGTTGACGGTATGTCCTGGGAAATGTCAAATCGATTAAATTAGACTAGGGTTTAATGTTTATAAATTCTTTAGCGGGTGGACATCCTTCAAACATCCAACATTCATATTTTATTCGTTGAACTGTTCGATGCATAAAAAATGTGTAAAGGAGTAAAGGAGCTATGTTGCAGTTTGGCGTAGAAATATAAATACATGTATTCCTAGATAAGAGGCTAAATTGGATCTAAACTGATATTGCTTTTACGATTAGGCCTAATAGTGAAAGTGAAAGATTCTTGTTGGAAACAGTCACACAGAAACAGTCAATGGTTGTTATGCGAAAACGAATACTTTATTAATATTCGTTTATTTTTCCTACAGAACCACAATGGAACACAGAGGTAATTTTCATCAATACATCATTTCATTTAATAATTGTGTCATTTATACTACAAGCCTATATGTGTAATAGTATTGTAGCGTCCCCTGTGTAATGACCCAGTGTAATGAAACAGGTAGAGAGTGCGGCCCGAACCCTCAACCTTCTGGCCCCTAGCCCCGCGGAAATCGACTGTGCCACAAAAGCATGCTCCAGTGGATATGCGATCTCGGCTCTTATAAACCAAGGTCGCTACAGTATGTAGAATATAGTACGTTGCCTAATGTTTGAGGGCGATACCAAGATAGTCTAACTAGGAAACAGGTGGCTGGAATGTTATCTAAAGAGGTTGAGAAACAATGTCAAAGAGCATGTCAGGGTCACCCATCCCCTCTTGAGTTTACTGCACTCTATGTCTATAATGCCAGGAAAGAAGAAGTTTATCACTTTTGTGGTTGGGAATACTGGGACGTTTGAAGACGACTTTACAATGCGTCTCACCCAAAGAGGCTTAACTAAAGGGATGTCACTTCAGAAAAGTGATGTCATGCTGGCTTTCTGTCCCATGGTCTCTAGTATTGGGACTGATATTGAAGCAGCACTGCTGCAGATTCCAGGTAATTCATTTAGGCATCGGGACAGAATCCTGAATATGTTCAGCACTTAAATATGTGGAAAGTAGATTCCTTGAGTGATTTATTATTGTATTATATTATAATTGAAATTTCATCAATGGCTATTGACACACGTGTTTCCTTTTTGACAGCTGGTAAACCTGTCATTCTTGTAGTGCTGCATCACACCTTCAACTCAGACTACATTGTATCTGCCAGTAGCAGACTAGTGACCAGAGATGATGTACAGTGGCTTGCATAACTATTCATCCCCCCAAAGTCAATACTTTGTAGAGCCACCTTTTGCAGCAATTACAGCTGCAAGTCTCTTGGGGTATGTCTCTATAGGCTTGGCACATCTAGCCACTGTGATTTTTGCCCATTCTTCAAGGCAAAACTGCTCCAGCTCCTTCAAGTTGGATGGGTTCTGCTGGTGTACAGCAATCTTTAAGTCATACCACAGATTCTCAATTGGATTGAGGTCTGGGCTTTGACTAGACCATTCCAAGACATTTAAATGTTTCCCCTTAAACCACTTGAGTGTTGCTTTAGCAGTGTACTTAGGGTCATTGTCCTGCTGGAAGGTGAACCTCCGTCCCAGTCTCAAATCTCTGGAAGACTGAAACAGGTTTCCCTCAAGAATTTCCCTGTATTTAGCGCCATCCATCGTTCCTTCAATTCTGACCAGTTTCCATGTCCCTGCCGATGAAAAACATCCCCACAACATGATGCTGCCACCACCATGCTTCACTGGATGGTGTTCTCGGGGTGATGAGAGGTGTTGGGTTTGCGCCAGACATAGCGTTTTCCTTGATGGCCAAAAAGCTAAATGTTAGTCTCATCTGACCAGAGTACCTTCTTCCATATGTTTGGGGAGTCTCCCACATGCCTTTTGGCGAACACCAAACGTGTTTGCTTATTTATTTCTTTAAGCAATGGCTTTTTTCTGGCCACTCTTCTGTATATCCCAGCTCTGTGGAGTGTACAGCTTAAAGTGGTCCTATGGACAGATACTCCAATCTCCGCTGTGGAGCTTTGCAGCTCCTTCAGGGTTATCTTTGGTCTCTTTGTTGCCTCTCTGATTAATGCCCTCCTTGCCTGGTCTGTGAGTTTTGGTGGGCGGCCCTCTCTTGGCAGGTTTGTTGTTTCCATTTTTTTATAATGGATTTAATGGTGCTCCGTGGGATGTTCAAAGTTTCTGATATTGTTTTATAACCCAACCCTGATCTGTACTTCTCCACATCTTTATCCCTGACCTTTTTGGAGAGCTCCTTGGTCTTCATGGTGCCGCTTGCTTTGTGGTGCCCCTTGGTTAGTGTTGTTGCAGACTCTGGGGCCTTTCAGAACAGGTGTATATATACTGAGGCATATACACTTCTTACAGAACGATTTCATAGAAATATGCTTGGCCTTATGGCAATTAAACGTTTCCAATTTATACATTAATCTATGATAACTACACAGCTGTAGGAGGAGTGCCAGTTGTAAACATTTCACATCATATATCAATTTTCCAATGTGATATTCTTGAAAAATAATAAAAGAACATAGAGGACCAGTGAATTGCTTTGTGTCATCTTTCCCACCAACACCGACACAAATTATCTCAAATTCAAAAGACAAAATCTAACCTGTAATCACAGTTACTGCTAGCTAGCTATAAAGTTGTTCTTGCACATGTTTTCTATCTAAACAGGCAGTTAGCGTTCATAAAATGTTAATTCAAAATCAGATGAGGCTGGGACCGGGATTAGGTTAAACTCTGAGTTAGAGATAAGGCTGGGGCTAGGGTTCACGGGCCTGCCCACCAGCTCCAATACAAATGCATTAGTTTTGCATTCGTATGCAGAAATGAAAGTTGCGTTATTGGTCTGAATGACTCGATGAATCTTGCATACTCAAACATAATTGTTATTTTTTTAATTACAATAACTTTGTTGTTGCACAGTAATGGAGTTGAGTGGTTTATGTTGTTACACAAGTGGAGTAAGGAACAATACTTGTGTAAGAACTCCATTACAATGCAATTACAAAGGAATTACTAAAGTACTAGTTATGTAACAACATAATACACTGTGAGGTTTTTAATTTCACTGTGGTTTTTAATTTCAATTTCATGTCTTTATTTTCAATTTCACTTGCTATGTGATTATACTTTTGAAATGTATATATTTGTCACCCTAGTTGTGTGAGTGTCAGAATTATAACGTTGCTAACAGCCCCCCCCCCCCCCCCCCAGTCTATGTTCATATTAGCCACTTTGATCTAAAATATGGACATTTCCTTTATCTCTGTAGAACCAAGGATTAAGAAATTCTTCTCTGTTTTGACTGGGAATACTCTCGGGTCTCATGAGGAATTAATTGATCGTCTCACTTCCAAAAGAGGCTTAACTAAAGTGACGTCACTAGAGGAGAGGGATGTGACCCTGGCTTTCTGTCCCATCGTCTCTCGTGCTGGGACTGATATTAAAGCAGCACTGCAGCAGATCCCAGGTAATCAATATTAATGAAGCATTTTTTTATGCTAATGATTGACACTTTCATTACACTTTCATTTACTGTTTACAGTAGTTAATACTCGATACTATTACCTATTCTTGTCTGTCCCTCACTCTCTTGACAGCTGGTAAACCTGTCATTCTGGTAGTGCTGCATCACACCTTCGATCCAGAGTGTGTTGTACCTGACAGTAGCAGACTAGTGACCAGAGGTGATGTAATACTCACAGTGGACTGTCTCTTCCATGAGAGCAAGGGACTACTGGTGTGTCCACGCAATAAGAAAGCGATCAAAAAAATTAGAGGGAGGAAAAACAAACAGCCAAAGGTAGTTTACTTTTATTGTGTTTAATGATCATGTTTGGTCATACATTACATACAGGCCTGCAGTTGAAGTTAGTCTGTTTTGTCAACACAGAATGAAACCACTTACAGAAGCCTCATTATGTATAACTGTCATACATGGCTTTGTGTTTTTATTCAAAATGCATTCACAGGTGAATGATGTCTCGATAATTACGATATGATATGTATTTATATTTTACAGCTTTACTTTTACTTCTCATCAATCTGATGAGATGACCAACAATTCTACAATATCTACAGTGATAATTGGCATTTAAAGACTGGGTTTCCAGATTAACACTGGTCCTGGACTAGAAAGCACTTTCAATAGATTCTCTAATGAGCATGCTTTTTAGTCCAGAATTCTTAATCTGGATCTGGGAAAACAGCCCTAAGGGTTTTTAATCACTTTCATAGGTAAATGATACCATGGAAATTGCTGAGCCAAGGACATTTGGGATGGTACAGATGTAGGATCTTAATTTGAGCCAGTTTGCTACAGCAGGAAATGTGAATTATTATGTGGATTATAATTAATGGACATTTTTGTAGGGGTTGATACATTTTTCAAAGGGAAAATCAAGTCTGAAAGCCTTTTTAAACCTAAAATACACTACAAGTTCTCCTAGAACATGATGATCAAATTAAGATCCTACACCTGTATGTGTATTCTCATTTTACACTGTTTACTTTAAATATACATAAATAATTGACCTCTCATGGGCTTTGCAAAACGAGATTGTGAGTAATCAACTAATATATTTTTAGGTAGGAGACTGAAGGGTTACATGAGTGACATGACAGAATAGTCATGTACTAGTAGTGTTTGTCAAAGTTCTTGGTCAATAAATACTTTCCAAATAAGGTTGACCTATATACTCTCTTCTAAGGTGAGAAAATTAACTAAGACACAGAAGAAGGCCAGTTGCTGCAGCATTTCCTGATGAAAGGTCCAAGAAATGAGGAATTGCACACTCACATCTGAAGATGAAAAGATGACAAGACCAATCTGTCTTTAGAAGTGTGTGATGATTGTGTGAGACAGTGTGATCAGCAGTAATACATAAACATCACTCTAATTATTGTATGATTCAATAATTCACACATTGGCTTTTTGGAAGGGATTCTGTGACAGTGACTGATAAGCTAAATGAAATCAATGGTAGGAAGTACATTTTCCAGTAATTTCTTGTTTTAATGCATATTACTATGTCTATGAACATATTATTATACTACAAGCCTATATGTGTAATAGTATTGTAGCGACCCCTGTGTAATGACCCAGTGTAATGAAACAGGTAGAGAGTGCGGCCCGAACCCTCAACCTTCTGGCCCCTAGCCCCGCGGAAATCGACTGTGCCACAAAAGCATGCTCCAGTGGATATGCGATCTCGGCTCTTATAAACCAAGGTCGCTACAGTATGTAGAATATAGTACGTTGCCTAATGTTTGAGGGCGATACCAAGATAGTCTAACTAGGAAACAGGTGGCTGGAATGTTATCTAAAGAGGTTGAGAAACAATGTCAAAGAGCATGTCAGGGTCACCCATCCCCTCTTGAGTTTACTGCACTCTATGTCTATAATGCCAGGAAAGAAGAAGTTTATCACTTTTGTGGTTGGGAATACTGGGACGTTTGAAGACGACTTTACAATGCGTCTCACCCAAAGAGGCTTAACTAAAGGGATGTCACTTCAGAAAGTGATGTCATGCTGGCTTTCTGTCCCATGGTCTCTAGTATTGGGACTGATATTGAAGCAGCACTGCTGCAGATTCCAGGTAATTCATTTAGGCATCGGGACAGAATCCTGAATATGTTCAGCACTTAAATATGTGGAAAGTAGATTCCTTGAGTGATTTATTATTGTATTATATTATAATTGAAATTTCATCAATGGCTATTGACACACGTGTTTCCAAGTTGTTTACTTTCAAGTAGTTTACTCACCGAAGAAGCACATATTAGACACATCATTTTAAAATCTTTAGTAATTGAGAGATGTACGGCACCCTGGAGGTGACATTGACTGAGATGTTTTTTTAAACTAGCGCACAAATTATATAACGTGCTCATGTTTTATAATATGAGCTCACAAATTATAAAACATGCTCATGAATTACTAAAATGTGTGCATGAATTGATATAAAACATGAACATGATCAGTGGCGACCTGTCATTCAGGGCAGGTGGGGCAGAGCCTGGTTTGAGCCCCACCTGTTTAGCTAAAAAATAAATAAAATACAAACGTTTTTTGATTTGTTGTTGCTTGTTTTGCATGTGATTTTGCAATTAATATGTGTCACATATCAGTTTGCAAACAATGTAAAAATAAATAAATCATTGAGATAATAAAGCCGCATGGGCTCTTTTTTGCTTTCTTGAGGAAGGCAGCTCCAAAATGCAGGTGTTTCAGCCTAGCTCAGTGCTTTCTGTGGTGGTGGGGCAGCCAGCGGAAATACAGAGCGTAGGGGTTGGTAATGTTCTCTAGTTGCGCCGTGATTGGCTCAGTCTTGTGTCACTCATGGGGACACTACGTCACAGCAAAATCACGGGGAGAGCAGAAAAATTCAAACCCCTTGTGTGCTGCCATAGAGTTACTTTGGAAGTGCCCATCCAAGAAGGCTCAAGGTCATTGCCACAGATAAAATTACGTCAAATCACGTTACATCTACAGTAGCTTTGATTGGACTGATCATGTCAACATCATACTTTCAAAATTTTTGCAAGCTTGCAGTCATCATCATGAATCAAATGGACAATCTACTGGCAAATCATTTTCAATCCTTATGAAGAGAAATTATGAAGAGAAATTATACATAAAACATATCGGTGCTCATTGGCCATTGGACATAAACATTACACAACAAGTTGGAAATTGCAAATTCAACAATGAGTGGTTTGGAAGGAATCAGTGGCTAACTGCAAGCATTGCAAAACAACAAGCTCCGACTGAGAAAATACGTTTTGAACGGTCATCCAACTTGGAATTCCAAGTCGGGAATTCAGGCCTATTTCTAGAGCTCCGACCTGAAGATCGGCATGATTCGACCTTGTTTTTTTTCAGAGTTCCCAGTTGTCTTGAGAGCACCATAAATCCAGAGAATGCCAGACTTTGATGACTAAATTTGCCCACGAAGGACCGCCGGCCCACCTTCCTGTGTGAGCACAGCACATCAAGGTGAGTCCAAAAATGTCTTGTATGCTGCTGCATAAATTATGTAATATGCCAAGGAGATATGTATACTGTAGCTAAGAAAGTAATACTAAGTGTATGTTGTGTAGTAAGTCGTTAGTGGCCATGTGCCTCACCCTAATAATTTGGTCCCTTTTCCCCTCATAACTTAGTCTGCTGTTCTGACTTGGTGGTGCACATGTAGCCTATAGCCTGTTTTAGAGAAATGTCATCATCGAATATTGTAAGAGCTTTCATTGGCTGCTTATATGCCCTCTTTATTTATCATATGGTTCTGACTTGGTGTACAGGGAGAATACTGTAAGAACGGCCCATGTTCTGAATTCTGTCGCTGTACATTTCAAAAGTGCTGAAAAAATAGTTATATTGACTACGTCCGTCCTAGCTCGCTCATTCATGTCTTAATCAAAATTACAGATTGCCTCTTATCCGCTCGTGGTCCCCTTATGCCATAGTTTGTACATCTCAATGGTCAGTAGAAACCACATTTGTTTAAGCAGGTCAGCCATATCAGCTATGTTTTCTTAAAAGGCAGTAAATGAGGCTGAATGAACTGTTTCAGTGCCAGACAAGGCTCCGCTGATAGCCAGGTGTAACAGTGGTAAGGTGTTGGGACTGCTGTTGGGACTCTGCTGTTGGGACAGCATTATGTAGGCTCTAACAGTTTGTGGGCACCGTTTGTCACCGTTATAGTCCAATTAATGTATTGTTTAGTGTTGTGTTGTGTTGTGGCTTTGCTGGCATGCATTTAAACATTTATTTTGAGTTTGCCACACCAAGATTTACATGCTACAATTGCCACTGCTCATGATACCAAAGTAAAAAACATGGCTTGGAAAAACACGATTTTTACAGGTACCTGCAGGTTCGACACTACTTTTTAAAATAAAAAAAAGTGATTGACCCTCGGGCACCTCAGAAATTGATCCAAATATTCACTAACGCATACAACTTGGGGAGTGTCAAAAAAACTATTTCAAATCTTTACCGGGGTATTCTATCCTCAAATAAACCCTCTACAAAATATATTAAACAGAAATGGGAGGAGGAACTTAACATTGAAATAACTGATGAAACATTTATGACTCAATTAAGCTCTACCAACTCACATTCTGTTGGAAGAATGTTATACGTTTCTTCATAACACCTAAACTGAAATCAAAACAGACTGGCTCCCAACACCCTTGTTGGAGAGAATGCGGGCTATCAAGGGCAGATCACTCTCATATATTTTAGTCCTGCCCCACTATTGAGGGGAGAAATAAGATCTAACATTGCAAATATAATGGGTTTTGACATAGAACAAACATTCATTTCATTGTATTTGGGTGAAATACCTGATAACTTAAACAATAGAGACAAGTGACTGTTGAAGGAAATGGCTACAAAAAGACCGTGACACAATGGGTAGACATTGTTAAAGAAATACACTATATGGAGCGTATGACCTTTACTTTAAGAACACATGGGGAGAGTGGCCAGGAATACTGTAAAAATGGGATTCGTACTTGAAAATGGTCTAATTCAAAGATGATGTTACTGTAACTAACCTGATGTATGTATGATGTGTGCTGTACCTGCCAGACCGTTTTTTTGTGTGTGTGTTCTTCAATAAAAACAAAAGTACAGTGAGGGAAAAAAGTATTTGATCCCCTGCTGATTTTGTACGTTTGCCCACTGACAAAGAAATGTTCAGTCTATAATTTTAATGGTAGGTTTATTTGAACAGTGAGAGACAGAATAACAACAAAAAATTCCTTATATAAATACTTATTTCCCTCATTAAAATGCAAATCAATTTATAACATTTTTGACATGTTTTTTTCTGCATTTTTTTGTGGTTATTCTGTCTCTCACTGTTCAAATAAACCTACCATTAAAATTATAGACTGATCATTTCTTTGTCAGTGGGCAAACGTACAAAATCAGCAGGGGATCAAATACTTTTTTCCCTCACTGTATATACAAAAAAGACATGCTCATGATTTTATAACACGAGCTCACGAATTATAAAACATGCTCACAAATTACTAAAATGTGTGCATGAATTGATGTAAAACTTGCTCATGATTTATAAAACAAGCTCAATTGTAAAACGTCCCAAGAAGCTAGAGAGACACACCACCACCACCCATTCCTGAATCCCGACCATCAGGAAAACACTTAAGACAACGACACACAACACAAAGACACACCATGCAGGTACGCTTTCCAAGGTAAGAATGTGTAGGCTATTACATTGAACTTTCCATTTAATGTTATCCATTGAAATGTTTAAGTCCCGAAAGCAGTTAGCTAAGGTTCTTATTTCACATTGACATCATCACCAACGTTAGCTAATGTTAGCTAGATTATCAAAGGGCCGGTGTGGTGAGATAACCTGATCCATTGGAATAAGGCAGTGGTCACCAACCCAATGATAAAGCCTTGCGGTCCTATTTTTTGTATTTGTTTCGCGCTGTTGGCAGTAGGTGCACTTGATTCAGCAGCCCTAGCGCCGGGAAGGTAAAGTGTTCCCATTTTGAACCATTTCATGTGTCTGAAGGTAGAACTCCGCCTATCTGGCAGGCTCGGAGAGCAAATCAAGTGCACCTGTAGGGCTACCGCTGGCCAATCAGATAGCGCAGATCACCGTGTCTGCACAGTTTCCCTGAGCCATAGACTGTAAATGTATAAAAGAAGCTTGAACGCACAGCAAAGTTGATACTGCGATTTCAAAACTTTTAAAACCATGACAAGAGAGAGACTCAACGAATACAGCAAAGAGCTGCTGTTTTTATGAGTAAGTTCATGTTTAAATTGTTATTCAGCACTGTCTACACTTTGTTCAACACTTTAATAAGCCATACAATGCGTGTTCTCCCTACTTCCACCCACGCTACAACCAGCACTGCAGCTGCAATGAATGACTATAGCAAATTGTTCCGATAAGCTTGTGTTGTTATTAGCGACTTGTGTATTTTTTAATATCTATAAATATTTCACTTTCTCTGGTCATAGGAGTAACAACATGAATTGGTGCATGAGGCAAAAATAATGATGTGCGACTTGAGTTTTTCCATCAGCTGGAAGACTGTGTCCCCTTTTCTCAGCGGAGGGACGGTGAGTCGCTGCTCCCTCTCCTCAGACTGACCATCAGATGTAGGCCATCAGTCCAGTAAAAAAATAAAGCAAATTATTATGCTAACTCAGCTGTGCCTCACAAGTAATACAACAACTGATCTATTACCAGTGTGATCATATACCTACAATTCAGTGTAGGCTGCTGAGGGGAGGAAGGCTCATAATAATGGCTGGAATGGAGTCAATGGAATGGTATGAAACATGTGGATTCCATGTGGTTGATATCATTCCATTGACTTCATTCCAGCCATTACTATGAGCCGTCCTCCCCTCAGCAGCCTCCACTGCTACATTTTTAAAGTATAATTTCAAAATGGTCTGAGAAGAACAACAATAGCATGGCAATTCAAGCACTGCCTATTTGCAGTGATAATGTATTGGGCCTATAGCCTACTGGGTAACACTTCCTTTTAAGAGGTCCATATTACAGTGTAATTACATGTGTAATTACACTGTAACAAG